TCTCCTTCTCAATCACAAGCTGGTCCTTCGGACCTTCAATCATCTTCAGGGGGGGCGTCTGAAACGTTCCAGACGGGAAAGGCAACTAGTAAGTCTTCCTCTTACTGTTTCATTTCTTCACTGGTAGATGTACAATGTATATTCATCTACCAGTGAAGAAATGTAACAATGTCCAATCATTATGTATATTCATCTATCAGTTAGGAAATGAAACAATGTACAATGTATATTCCTGATATTACACAACACCTACTAGGAAGACTCCAAGGTATCTATCATCTACAGTGCTATGTATTCAATTAATGTTATGTAACTTTTGCACTTGGGTCATCGACCAATGTTTCCCTATTCTATAAATACTAAAAATTATAGATATATGTACTACAGTCAGTAGATGACCTAGTCTAAGAAATAAACAACCTATGCCAAAGATCATTCGCACTACTGATGTGAAGTTTGTTTGCGCACGTCATGAACAAAACTGACTAAACTGCTATTCAGTCTGATACTGACGGTACAGCCCCTGTCTGTGGCTTCACTCTCCCAAGCAGAGATACCCCACAGCAATACTACCGTGGGAGAGAGGTTACAGTATTGTTGCAGGATAGTTCTGCGTGGGAGAGTGAAGTCACGTCAACTTTTGGCAATCCGCTGCGACAAGAAAGTCTAGGGCAATCATGGACACCCGTCCCCTCACTGCTGCACTCAAGCATAATGTTAGTCTTCAGAAGGTGGAGCACATCATGAGAATTAACCAGGAATACATTCATATGGTTGATGGCAAATGTCTTGAGTGCAGTGATGGCCTGGCCACATATGTTGTACAATCATCATTTAATAATTGCAAGCTGATGGATTCTTTGGATTGTAAGTTGTGTGGGTGTGCTGCCAAATTCAGCTGTTGTAGATCCCTTGTTGCAGGTTGTTTCTATCACAGCCTGTTGGAAAATGCTAGGACGTCAAAATGTTATGATGGCCTGCAACAGATGTGACTGTGACATTAGGGGCATGGATATCCTGACTGCCAAAGACTTTCACATCGCTGCAGACTGTGTTTAAAGTTGCAGCACTATGACAGGGGCACACCAAAGGAACTTCTGATACAGGATATACATGTAGGGGTCTTCTTTTGCACAACCAAACTTGTCTTACCTTGCTTACATTTCGATGTCTATCAGACACTTTCCTCAGAGCTTCAGACTGGAGTTCTGCTCTGAGGAAGGTGTCTGCTAGACACTGAAACGTAAGCAAGGCAAGACAAGTTTGGTTGTATAAAAGAAAACCCCACTCTACCAACCTGATGAAACTATTTTCTGAAACTTCTGCTACATAAATTATAAAAAAAAAGTACAGGCCTGATCATGATCGCGTCCGCCGCCGCAGCACTTTACTGTACCATCGCGCAAGAAGGTAAAACGGGTTTTAGAAAGAGAAACGCGCGAAAACGCCATGACTCGCTCGTGCGTACGAACCTCCCACGGTCAGTGGAGCGTTCGCCTGGTCCTCTCCGGCGGTCACGGAGTACATTCCTGCGTCGGCCTCGGTGGTGTCGGCGATAAACAGCGTGTGCTTCTTCTTATCCTTCTCCATCCGGTACTTCTCTCCCGGTCGGATCTCCGCGCCTTCCTTCCACCACGTCACGTCTGCTTTCTCCGTGTTGAGCTCGCACTCGAATTTAGTTACCTCATTGGTAATCACCGAAGTGGGCTCGGGCGGTATAACAATCCGTACTAACTCTATAACACGTATAGAGCGGGGAGAGGGGGTCAGAAGGACAGAACGTATTAGCAAGGGAGGGAGGAGACAGACGAGACAGATAGAGTGATAGAGAGAGAGAGTAGAGGTGGACGAGATCAGATTTCGTACCAGTTGGTTATTAGAGTGACGGAATAGAATTAGGCCTCAAAGTGGCTTGGTGTGAGTTTCTTTGCAAAATAGATTGAGAGATTTAAAGAAGACATACATGAAGAGGGGATACGACTTCCATGAAGTTTGGAAGCCTTCTCTTGTGGGAGGACTTGTACAAAACGACACAGGATTGTCATTACGTCCGAGCCCTTTCGATAAGTACTAGTGAAGCACCTAAACCCCGGGTACTGTGATGTACCCAACAGGCACTCAACATGCACACACGCGTCACAACAAACTCACGTCACCGTGCAGCCAGGAGAAGACAAAGCTGTGAGCACTCATGGAAAGGCTTCTGCGGTCGTCACACGCTAAGCTACGAGCCATAGCTGCAGTCAATCGTCGCTTATTCTAGCAGCTTGCTGTGCAGCAGATATTGTGCATTTTTCTGCGTGAACTCAGCCAGATAGCGACTCTCGCCAAGCAGAGGTTTGGGGTTCCGCTTGTGTTTGGTGTGTTTTTAGGTTTTTACTGGGATCTCTTTTTTGTAATGGTATCTTTTTTACACTAGCCCAGATGGCAAATAAATATATACTGCCTTGCCAATTTGTCTTTGCAGTCACCAAAAGATCTGCTTGCCGAAATTAGGATAGCCATTCTACAGAGCAGTGCGTGGGTTACTATGCTACGTGTCTACCAGCCAGCATGTGAAGCCTAAGCAAGGGAAGCTGCGCGTGCGAGCGTTAGCGTTGTTTGGTGCAGAACTACCGTTGCAAGCATATATGAACGGTAACTAAGTTCTTGCTGAAAGGAGCCCTGTATTGGCAGGTAGCGATTACAAATCACTCCAAAATTTTTTCCGCAGATTACAAATCACTTTAAATTCTCAAAGCTGATTGGGAATTGCCTTAAATCATGAGGCTAGAATTGCGCTGTCTTAATTTTGTGGCTGCCTACGAATTATGTGTGTATGTAAGACTTAAAAAGGCTGATTACACTTTACATAAAGGGGCATGCAGGGCCCCTTTCAACATACTACATTTAGTAGCCAAAACCGCACTACATATACTACTGGTGTAGGGGACAGCCAAAACTGCATCAGTAAGCCATGCAGAATGTGGTAAACTTGGCTCTCTGCCGTCGCTGCTAGGAATGAAAGCGTCGACGCTACCTTCCACTTCTAACTTGGCAGTGCTCTCCTTTTCGCCGACTACAGCAGTGTAGCTTATGGCGTCCTCCGGCACACAGTTGTTGATCAGCAGGGCGTGCTTACGGCCCTTGCCGATTGTCTCGTACTTCTCGCTGTCTTTTGTGTCGATCCAGTCTCCATTCCTCCTCCATCTGGGGGGGGGGGAACAACAGTCTCAAGATTAATACGGTATGATTGCCAAGTTGTGGCCAACAGTCTCAAGCTGGAGTATACTGGTCTACTTTAATTACAACAAGATTGACCAGTCTCCATTCCCTCCTCCATCTTAGGGTTCAACAAGAAATCCCAGATTTCATACTTCCCAGAAGTTCATAATGTTTGAAGTTAATGAACTATATCATAAAATGCATTATTTCTCATACGATTTCACCTTTGACGCCAGTGCAAAACCCTGTCTATCAAATGAAACCAAATCTCTGCCCACCCACTTTGGAACCCAAACATACAAACCTAGCACAGGTCATTGCCACCCAACACAATATTTCTGTCCCAGAAGTAACAACAGTCTCACACTGGAACCTACTTGTCTTCTTCAGTACAACTTTACGACTTTGATCGTGATCCGCAATTGTCCATCAATTTGATTTAAAGCTTTCTTTTAAAATGTTATGAAAAGTTAGAAAACTATCATGTTTCTCAATCCATAAATGTAAGTGTCTCAGAGTCTGTGATATGGACATGAATGCTATGTAGGTTAAGCTGTGCAGGTTAAGTGGTTGTCTGATGTGTAAATATCGTTTTGTGTAGGATTTCACAGTCTTCAAAACATTCCCATTTCTGCAAAAGTCACTTGTTCTGGTAGCAGCAAATGCACCATTAAACTTTAAGACTTAGTAGTATGATCAGCAATTGTCCATCAAACTGACGCAGAGATGCCCCTTTACAAAACTCTTTGGATGTTGAAAATGATAAGTTAAACATGATATGTTAGTCAACTATCATGTTGCACAATCTGTGTCTCTTTGATATCTGACCTGACGAAGTCAGCGTCCCTTGTCAGTTCGCACTTGAAGGTGGCTGTCTCCGTCTCACGAACCTTCACATCCTTCACACCCAGCGAGAACTCGGGCGGGATTTCTGGGGGAAGGAAATTCATCAGGTTATATATCACGCATAATTCATGGAGAAACCTTTTGGTTTATGCTAAGTGTTTAATGTAAAAGTATATATCACTACAACCATGGATGACATGACAACGAAACTTTCAAACTTTCGTCTTTCTTCATTCACAGGCAAAACAGGAGCCAAAGATATTATCTCCACTTCAAGGCATTTTCTCAGGTATTCGTCAATTTAGTGTATAACTAAGACTAAGACAAAGGGATAGATGAGATGGGAACAATTGGCTATGTTTTAGGAGCTTCTGACTTACTGATGACAGTAAGATTGGCTGGTTTGTTGGTATGGTTGTTTGATGACAGTAAGAAGTGACACGAGTTTGAGCCCCTAGCAGCTTGTTCTAGAACTGCAGGAGTGCCTGTTTAAAACTCTTAAAGAGCTTGTGACTTACTGATGACGGTAAGGTTGGCTGTGGTCTGGCCTCCTGTGGCGACCAGGGAGAATGGTGATTGGTCGGTGAGCTCAGCCTTCTGGATCAGTACTACTTACTACTACTACTGTAACAGTAACTACTGTACTACTGCTACTACAGTACTTACTGATGACGGTAAGGTTGGCTGT